CTCCTGCTCATCTTTTTTGCAGAAAGAACAATGTTTTTTGTCCAAGCTGAGCTGTCCAAATATAGTTAAGTTCTTAGGCTGCAATGTTAGCACTGAAAACAATAGGCCTATGTACAATCTTCTCATGGAGTACGTGCCCGGTGGCACGCTTTTCGATACGATTCGAAGGCATGGAGGGCGGCTAGAGGAGCCCGCAATTCAATTATACACGCATCAGATTGTGCAAGGCTTGGAGTATCTTCATGTGAATGGATTGGTACATTGTGACATTAAGAGCCAAAACATTTTGGTAGATGAAGAGTGTGCCAAAATTGCTGATCTGGGTTGTGCTAAATCGGTACAAAGAGTTGCAGGGGATGAAGACTCTGCCACCGCAAGTACTATAATTTCAGGCACACCGGTGTTCATGGCGCCAGAGGTTGCACGTGGAGAAGAGCAGGGGTTTGAAGCAGACATATGGGCTCTTGGATGCACAATCATTGAAATGGCCACTGGTGATGGCCCTTGGCCGGAGCTTAACGACCCAGTTTCAGCTCTTTATCGGATTGGATTCTCCCCTGACTTGCCGGAGATTCCAACCCGGCTTTCGAACAAGGGTAAGGATTTCTTGAACAAGTGTTTGAGAAGAGACCCAAGAGAGAGGTGGACAGCTAAGCAACTTCTTGAACATCCATTTCTTGAAGAGTCCTTGGGGTCTAAAACAGAACAAGTAAAGGAATTCAACTTCACTATGAGGTCTCCTATTAGCGTGTTGGATCAAGGCATTTGGGATTCACATGAAGCCTTTGAAAATCCAAAGGAACAATCTGTTGTTGAAAGTGTTTGTTTGAATTCTCCACTGGAAAGGATCAAGAGGTTGATTGGAGGCACTTGTTCTGCATTTTCAAATGCACCCAATTGGGAATTTGAAGAAAATTGGTCCACTGTTAGAAGCAATGGGATTGAGGAAAGCCAAAACTCAGGGACAAGCAACAATGTCATCTCAGTTGATGAACCTGTGGCTGCGACTTCACCAAATGTGGCTTTAACTTATCATGAAGAGCTTGACAGTTCATTGTGTGATGAGGATGATGTGAGAAGCTTTTTTATGGCATTTAGTTTGACAGAAGATTCTTTTGTACCAAACAATCTTGAAATTGAATCAGATAATCAGAATTTTCCTTTTATTCACTCCCATTGTTGTCATTCATGTTTTAATTTTTCCGGCCAAGTAGAACCAGTGAAGGTTAAGTTTCTGTCATTTGTTTTCTATTTTGTGTTTGTGTTTGTTTTTGTACCAAGGGCTGCAACTTTTGAATTAATTAAACAAGGTTATATGGCATATCAATCTCTCTATCGGGTACCAAAACTGTGGTTTTTTGTTTCTTTGCTGAAGTTAAGAACGAGGAGGGTTTTTTCACTCACACTGTCAAAATGTCATAAATGTTCAAACTTAAAATCACTAATTTGCAAGTCAGGGTCGTTTTCCCGTTGACACCGAAATTGTGGTTAATTGCTACTCTAACTATACATCCTAGGTTAATTAACCATACACATAATCTGGATCTGCATGTTCATATTCACCCCTTTTGGCCTCTTATGCTGTCTCTATACGCAAACCGAGAGGAGCTGTCTCTTGTGTTAGCCAAAAGGAGAAAGAAAACCAGCTGTCTCTCAAGTCTTGTGCATATACTTCGTATGCTGCAAGCTTTTTTCTTGTTTTTGGTTTTGATTTTTTGTTTTTGTTTATAACCCCAATCATTTATCTTAGAGAGCTTTGCATTATTTTATTTGCCCCAAAGTTTTGCAAGCTAGGCCAGCCTTTTTGTTTGCATATCATTGCCAACATATGTGCTTCAATTAAATAAATCGTGTGCTTGCATATTTTTTCTTTTTCCCAATATTTTCTGCTCATGACGACAATATCATGTGGGGATTAGGGTTTCACTGACATGCATGTGAATGAAGGGTTAAATGCATTGGCCTCCATCCATTTACAGTCTCTGAAATATTGTGCTCTGTGTTCTCATTTTCTTTTAGGAGCTTTTTCAACTTTGTTCCTTTCCCTTTATCCAGTAGGGGCAATGGCCTACTTGGACCGCAGGCTAGGGGAGATTATTCAAGTCTTGTATATTGACTTGACACCAAAGTCAATTTAGATAATTGAGAGGTTTTTAATCTTTCTTTGCCCTCTGATGAAGCTTCCTTTGTGAACAAGAGAGACTTTTGTTAGGCAACTTGGAGGGTCATCAACTTTGTTGCCTGTCTGCGAAGTCAAATCTTGGGTAGGTGCATGCACAACTGGTAGATGTGAAAACTTCTGTTCAGGTTAATTGATGTGTACTTTTCATATCAGTTACTATGATCATCAGTTTAATAATTGATGTGTACTTGTAATCTCGGCCCCTATATGTGGTATAATAGTGAATCTCCCTAATTATATTCAAATCGAGCAATGTTAGGGATTTTTTTCTTTTTTACAATGATAACTTGCATTTAAGAAACCAACATAACATCAACAATTAGAATGGGGGACAATCAATCAAGACCATCGTCTTTTATCCAAACTATAAAATCCGAAATAAAAATATAGCAAAACGTGATGCGTGATACAAGTACTAATATTGAGAGTGTTTTTCTCACATTGAAAAGTCAAGGGACTTAGTTTGGGTCTATAAGAAGTTAGGCTACTCTTCAACATTGATCATTGGTTTTGGGATAAAACCTAAACTTCCTTCGTAGTATCAACAATCGAAACTGACCAATACATATATGATTTCAGGTTACAATAATGAAAGTGATCATAAACTGTGTGCTTATAAACTTAGTAATATTCCATTCATTCATTTTCTAGGTTGTTGAATCGTATTTACTTCTAATGGAAAACATATTGTCATGTGGATGTGGTGACTGAAATTGAAGAATTCCTTTAGCAACTTAGTATATTATTGAATTGGTGTGACCTAATTTCTTTGGCATGTAGAGAAGCGGCGGTGAAGCGAATGTGGTCTGATCCGCAAGGGAAGGGAAGGGATTTGAAGGGTCGTCGTCTTTAAAAATGGGAAGGGCAGAGAGACTTTAAACAAAGTCAACTAATTCTAAAACGTCAACTCATCTCCATTGCATGAATGAATCTTAAACCAGAAGAAGACTTGGAAAAGGTAACTGGAAGAGTCAACACGTTGGGTTTTTCCATTTTTCCTCTTTTTTTTCTCTCTCTTCGTGTTATTGAAAGGTCACCTAAACGACTTGTTACTATAGCCTTTTGACAAACAAAAAGGATGCCATCATCCTAACGTAATTGTGAATCATCAAAAATTTTGTACTCGAAGGTTTCTTGTGTATATCCCATAAAGTTTGGCCATTGGAGCTTTTAGCTACTTCTACCCCTTCAATTCAGAACCATCTATTTGAACACCACTGAAAGGAGAAAAACTTACATATAGTGAGGTGTATATCTCTTTCTCTCTATTATCTTTCTTCCTACACGAGGAGATAGAGAGAATGTATTATACACTTCATTTGTCAAGTTTTTCTCCCTCTATTGCGAAATGCTAAAGTTTAACCACTACATGATGGATTACTCCCACGCTCGGCTAGCAGGATGTAAGGGTTGGGCAACAACACAGGGCATCCTATAAAACCTTTTAGCCCAAGAATTATAGTAGTAAAAAAAGACAATTTAGTATGTGTAACTAGTGCTTTTTAGACTTTTCTCTTTATTTTGAGAACTTTTACCTAAACTAACTTAGCACATAAGCTTGGAACTTTTATTTTAATTTTTATTCAAAATAAGCTTAAGTGTTAAAAATGACTACTTTTATTTTTGCATAGGGCCTCTAAAATTAATGGACCGGCCGTAATTACTCCCCTCTCTAACTTTACCTAACATCGATAGTTCACTTGTTTGGAACTAGCATCCATATGTGATTAGGCTAAGAAGTACAATAACAATTTTTTTATATATATAAAAAAACTCTATCAATTTTGATAAATTTATTACTTTTCCTTCCTATTGTTTATTTTTGTTAAACAATATCCTTACAGTTAGGAATTCGGATCTAACACACAAGAAGCACATGACCTTACTAAGCTGCTTTTCACGTGGTTTCCTCCCAGTGAAGTATAAATTATAATAATTTATGGTAGAAGAAGTTGACGGCAATTTTTTGTATAGTGAGCCAGGTCGGATCGAATTCCGCACGGGCCAAACATGGAGCGAACCTCTATGCACCAGGTTAAGCCGAGGTTGGGCTTAGGGTCAATTTTGATTTTGGGTCTCAAAAGTTACGCTCAATTTAAAATGACTAATAATAGTTGCATTAGGGCTGGGTATGGATTAGGTTGGGTTGAGTCAGTTTTGATCTCAACTCACAACTCAAGTCAAACATACCGGTTTATGATTTCTTGAATCCAAGACTTGCTCATTATTAGGCGAACTCAAACAAACCCAACCCTTTTATGATCAGGTTAGGCGGTTTGGTCTGGTTCATCCCTAAATTTTTTTTTCCCAATCAGCAACCCAACTCATACATAACGGTTTATGATTTTTTGAACCTAAGACCCACTCGTCATTAGGCCAACCCAAACAAACCCAACCATATTGTGATTGGGTCAATCGGTTTGATCGGGTTGACTCCGAAATTGTGTCAAGCCCTAGGTTGAATGGAATCTCTCCTTTTGAGAAATACTTCATTTTGGTTCTTCTTATCACTTGACAGTACAGTCTGTTGGCGTGACTTGTGGATATTGACTTACTTTCCTTACACACCAAGAATTCCTATTATAATTATAATTGATTTACTTTAATTCTTGATTTCCTATTGTAAATAGATTTAGGAATTTATTATTTACTTACCCATTCAGGTTTCGTTGTATTATAAATATGACCTCCTACAAGGAGAAGAATACACAGAAAATTCCCACAAACAAATATTCTCTCATAGTTTTCATATTTTGGCATGGTATCAGAGCGGCGATCTTGGAATTGCTGACTCTAGTTTCACACCCCCGCCACCGCTATGGGGGTTGGTGATTTTTTCATCCCTCATGGAGGTAGCACCACCGACTCCTTCTCTCCTTCTCAACCAACCATATCCGAGTTGAGTGCCCAAATGGCTCAACTCCTACAGATGCAGACTTTGGCCCCGAATCTAATCCTGAATCAGGATCCTCTTTTAACGACCCCGACTATGACGACGACGATGACCTCGACTCTGACTCCGACTCCGACAACGACCTCGACCCCCACTTCGATGATGACTCCGACCCCGACCCCGACCTCGAATTTGTCTTTGATTCAGACCCCGATCCCGACTTCGACTCCGACTCCGACCCCGACTCAGGCTCAGATCCCGATCCGAATTCCTACAAAACCTGTATCCTATACATCTTCCGCTGCACAGATTATGACTTCTCGACTAACGACCCCGACACATGGACCAGATTGCGAATTTTGTGGTGATCCAAGACACACTCGTGAGACTTGTTTTAAATTGCATGGCTATCCCGATTGGTGGGCTACTCTTAAAGATCGAGGACAACGCAATACGACCAGTAATGGTACTGGTTATGGATTCCATATTTCTGCTAAGATTGATTCCAAGAGTTGGATAATTGATTCCGGTGCAACTGATCATATGACGTTTGATCCTGATGATTTTCTGAATACTACACAACCTCGACGAACCTGTATTGCAAATGCCAATGGTGTTACTTATCCTGTGACAGGAGCTGGCACTGTTGCACTCTCATCCTCTCTCACACTGTCTAATACTTTACTTGTTCCATCTTTATCCACTAAATTGTTGTCCGTTAGTCAGCTTACTGAACAATTGAATTGTTGTGTACTCATTTACCCGAGTTTTTGTTTGCTTCAGGATATTCACACTAAGGAGATTCTTGGTCGTGGTACTAAGAGAGGGGGGCTATATTATGTCGATGACTTCAGTCCTGGCATGGCTAACAATGTGACGCATCCCTTTGATAGCAAACAAAAGCATATCTGGTTGTGGCACCGTCGATTGGGACATCCGTCTTTTAGTTATATGAAGCATCTTATACTAGATTTATTCTCAGGTTTCAAGGACTCCGACTCCACATGTGATACTTGTATTTTGGCCAAGAGTCACCGTGTGCCCTACCCGTTGAGTACGAACAAGTGTACTACTCCATTTACGTTAATTCACTCTGATGTCTGGGGACCTTCACCTATCACTGCTCCTTCTGGTGTTCGATGGTTTGTCACATTCATAGATGATTGTACACGGATGACATGGCTTTATTTCCTGAAGAATAAAAATGAAGTGTTTTCCCGGTTTCAGTCCTTCCACAAACAGATGAAAACTCAGTTTAATGCTCAAATCCAGATTCTTCGCTCTGACAATGGTGGAGAATTTGTCAATCATGACTTTCAGACTTACTTCCAACAACATGGAATTATCCATGAGACGACTTGGCCTCAGACACCGCAACAAAATGGTGTTGCTGAACGAAAGAACCGACATCTTCTTGAAACCGCTCGAGCACTTCTAATTGGAGCTCATGTTCCTCGCCATCACTGGGATGATGCTATTGTCACTGCAGTTCACCTAATCAACCGCATGCCTTCTGGTGTATTGACCTTTAAAACTCCCTTACAGGTGCTTGCGCAACACAAACCTCTGCCCTCTGTTTTGGTACTCACACCCCGAATCTTTGGATGTGTGGCTTTCGTTCATCTCCACAAAAATTAACGTAGCAAACTTGATCCCTGTGCGCTTCGTTGTGTTTTTGTGGGTTATGCCACTCATCAGAAAGGCTACCGTTGTTATCACCCTCCTACCCGACGTACCTATGTCACTTTGGATGTGACCTTTCTAGAATCTGAGCTGTTCTTCCATGACCCATCATCCAATTCTACGCTTCAGGGGGAGATACGAAGTGAAGAGCAGAATTTGAGCAACTTGGAAAACGAAAAAATTCTCCTATGTACAGAAATGATTGATCATCCTGAGTCTAGAGCACAAGATTACTCTATGCCGAAAAGTGACCAATCGCCCATTCATAGCGATCAATTACCTGACCCACCTGATCCATACGAAGATATTTCTGATCCGAGTCTCACACCTACAGACAATACAGAACAACAAGATGAAGACCCCCCCTCTAACTCAACAGTACCAACAGACCAATCTCCTGAGAATATCCTTGAGGTAACTACTCCTACTAGACTTGTGCATTTAGAGGATAAAACTATTGGATATCAATTACCTTTCAGGCAAAATCTTGGGAAGCCACCAAACCGCTATTCACCTGATATTGGCAAAACATCCAAGTATCCAATTGCAAATCATGTATCCACTGAGAAGCTGTCTGAACCACTCAAGGCTTTTGTGCATCAGTTGTCTGCTATCCATATTCCAACCAAGGTATCTGAAGCATTGAAAGATCCTAAGTGGGTCCAAGCTATAAAAGAGGAGATGAAAGCTCTTGAGAAAAATCAGACTTGGACATTGGAGACTATACCACGAGGAAAAAAGACTATCGGATGTAGATGGGTGTTTACTATAAAACACAATGCAGATGGATCTATCGAGCGATACAAGGCAAGACTTGTGGCAAAAGGGTACACACAGACCTATGGTATAGACTATGAAGAAACCTTTGCTCCAGTTGCAAAGTTAAACACTGTCAGAGTCTTATTGTCCCTTGCAGCTAATTTGGATTGGCCACTACACCAATTTGATGTAAAGAATGCTTTTCTACATGGCGAACTCACGGAGGAGGTGTACATGGACATTCCTCCTGGTTATAATACTACTCAGACTGGAACAGTTTGCAGGTTACGAAAAGCATTATATGGGTTGAAACAGTCACCACGTGCATGGTTTGGACGGTTCACCATGGCAATGAAGAACAATGGTTTCAAACAGTGCAACTCCGATCATACTCTGTTCTTGAAACATCGGAAAGGGAAGGTAACAGCATTAATAATTTATGTTGATGATATGATTATTACTGGGAATGATAAACAGGAAATATCACAGCTACAAGACTATCTGGCTACAGAGTTTGAAATGAAGGATCTAGGTGGACTCAAGTATTTCTTGGGAATTGAGGTGGCTCGATCGCAGCAAGGCATATTTCTCTCTCAAAGGAAATATGTCTTGGACTTGTTGACAGACACAGGAATGCTAGATTGCAAACCTGCGGACACTCCTATTGTTCAGAATCATCATCTTGGAGAATATCCGGATCAAGTTCCAACTAACAAAGAAAGATACCAAAGGTTAGTGGGAAGATTGATCTATTTGTCACATACTCGACCAGACATTGCTTATGCAGTGAGCGTTGTCAGTCAATTTATGCACTCTCCAAGTGAAGACCACATGAATGCAATTCTTCGGATACTTAGATATTTGAAGTCTGCACCTGGAAAAGGACTTATGTTCTCAAAGCATGGTCATCTAAATATTGATGGTTATTCAGATGCAGATTGGGCAGGTAATGTAACAGATAGAAAATCCACATCGGGTTACTTCACATTCGTGGGAGGTAATTTGGTGACATGGAGAAGCAAGAAACAGAATGTAGTAGCTTTATCCAGTGCAAAAGCCGAGTTCAGAGGCATGACTAAAGGGATTTGTGAACTTCTTTGGTTAAGAAAGTTGCTTACTGAACTTGGGTATAAACCTACATCTACAATGAATCTCTTTTGTGACAACAAGGCTGCTATAGCCATTGCACAGAATCCGGTTCAGCATGATCGTACTAAACATGTTGAGGTGGATCGACACTTCATCAAACAGAAGCTTGAGGCTAAAGTGTTTCAGTTTCCTTTTGTGAAATCCGAGGATCAATTGGCGGATATTTTGACAAAGGCGATTTCCAGTAAAGCATTCCACAATTCACTGGATCAGTTGGGCATTGGCGACATCTATGCACCAACGTGAGGGGGAGTGTTGGCGTGACTTGTGGATATTGACTTACTTTCCTTACACACCAAGAATTCCTATTATAATTATAATTGATTTACTTTAATTCTTGATTTCCTATTGTAAATAGATTTAGGAATTTATTATTTACTTAACCATTCAGGTTTCGTTGTATTATAAATATGACCTCCTACAAGGAGAAGAATACACAGAAAATTCCCACAAACAAATATTCTCTCATAGTTTTCATATTTTGGCACAGTCTAGTTAAAGTCATTGAATTTGAAAGATCATAACTTGTTAATAAGAAGAAAACCTCTCCCGACAAAATAGTGTTAGTTGAAGTCTATGCCGGCAAACTTTTGCCGGATTAGACATCTCCCGATGAAAGTCACCTTTGCCGACAAAATTTCGTCGGAAAAGGTCTAATTTGGCAAACTTCGCCGAGATAGACATGTGCCGACGAACTTTTTTCGGAATAGATATTTTTAAAAATAAATAAATTATAAACTTAGTATGTTTAGGTTAATTAATTTTTTTAAATTTTATTTTTAGTAATTAAATATTATCTTTGGCTTATTTTAATTATTATTTCTTTAGTGAATAATTAGTATTGAATAGTTTAATTAACTTCATGAATTATATTACTCAATAAATAGTTTCTAGTTATACAATATAGTCGCGCGGCTATACTCTTTAAATATATTTCCACATTGCAACAACAATAAAAAAATCTGGATTTCTCTGTAGGCTTATCTTTTGAGGGGTGAAAATCCCACATCGAAAATACACACTCCTATAAAGGTGTTTGTAAACAAAGCACTATGACGGTTTGGTAAGTGTGGATAAGGTTGGAGAGTTGGGCTAATGGGCTTGGCTATAGGTTCGTCTTTGATTAATAATAATTATATTAATCAAAGACTAGGGACTAAGGCCTTAGGCCTTGGGGCTCTTGGGATATGGGGAAATTTAATTAAGACACCCAGAGCAATTACCCGTACAAAAAATTTAGAACGTTCATGGTTAATACACGTATTCTTTTAAAATGTTTCAATAAGACACACAAAATTAATATTATACAAATAATTCTCACATATTATTGAATAAAAATAATATATATCAAAATATTATATATTGATTTTATTTTTAAATAGTAAAAAAAAAAAAAAAAAAAAAAAAAGCGTATAGCCGGGCTGCTGTACTCGTAATTTAAAAAGAATAAATAGTATAGCCGGGCGGCTATACTTATTTTGACAAGTGGCGCCAAATAGCAAAGGAGTCCTCTTTTTTACGTGTATAAGTAGTATAGTCGCACGGCTATACTCCAGTTTTCTTATTTTTTGGTAAAAATAGTATCGCTGAGCAGCTATACTCGCTCTTTCAAAAATAGTATCACCGGTCGGCTATACTTATTTTGACACGTGGGCACCAAATCAAAAGGGGTACCTTTTTTTGCCTTTTTTCTTATTTATTTTTTTTAAACTTTATAGCCGAGCGGCTATACTTGTAATTTTTTTTAAAAATAGTATAGCCGGGCGACTATATGTATTTTGACACGTGGCGCCAAATCGCAAGGGGGGTCCTCTTTTTTACGTTGTATAAATCGTATATTCGTTTTAATTATTTTTTTGGTAAAAATAGTATAGCCGGCTGGCTATACGCACTCTTTAAAAAACACATTAAAAAATAGGCCAGCTATACTTATTTTGACACATGGGCACCAAATCAAAAGGGGTCCCTTTTTTTACGTGTATAAATAGTAGTAGTACAGCTGCACGGCTGTACTCCTTTTATTTTTATTTTTAAAAAATAAGAAGAAAACCTCTCCCGACGAAATAGCGTGGCAGAAGTCTATGCCGACAAAATTTTGCCGTACTTTTCCCGATGAAAGTCACCTTTGCCGATGAACTTTCGTCGGAACAGATTTTAAAAAAAAAATTATTATTATAAATTTAGTATGTTTAGGTTAATTAATTTTTTAAAATCTTATTTTTAGTAATTAAATATTATCTTTGGCTTATTTTAATTATTATTTCTTTTATGAATAATTAGTATTGAATATTTTAATTAACTTCATGAATTATATTACTCAATAAATAGTAATTCAAATTTTCTATTTATACAATACAATCGCACGGCTTTACTCTTTAAATATATTTCCATATTGCTCCAACAATAAAAATATGGACTTCTCTGTAGGCTTATCTTTTGAGGGGTAAAAATCCAACATCGAAAATCCATACTTCTATAAATGTGTTTATAAACAAAGCACTATGATGGTTTGGTAAGTATGGTTAACATTAGAGAGTTGGGCTAATGGGCTTGGCTATAGGCTTGGCTTTGATTAATAATAATTATATTAATCAAAGACTAGGGCCTTAGGTCTTGGGGCTCTTGGGATCTAGGGAAATTTAATTAAGACATCCAGAGTAATTACACGTACAAAGAATTTAGCACTTTCATGTTTAATACACGTATTTTTAACAAAAGTTTTAATAAGACACACAAAATTAATGTATTATACAAATAATTCTCACATATTACTGAATAAAAATAATATATATTAAAATATTATATAGTGACCTAACTTTTAAGTTGTAAAAAGGTCCTCTTTTTTTTAATTTTTTAATATAAAAACGTATAGCCGGGCGGCTGTACTCCTAATTTTTTTTAAAAATAAATAGTATAGCCGGGATGCTATACGTATTTTGATACGTGGGCGCAAAATCGCAAGGAGGTCCTCTTTTTTACGTGTCTAAATCGTATAGCCGCATGGCTATACTCCGTTGTTTTGATTTTTTTATGTAGGAACAGTATAGCCGGCCGGCTATACTTATTTTGACACGTGGGCACCAAATTAAAAGGGGTCCCTTTTTTACGTGTATAAATAGTATAGCTGTACGGATGTACTACTTTTTTTTTCTGATTTTTTTTAAAGTAAGAAGAAAACCTCTCAAGAGGAAATAACGTCGGCAGAAGTTTACCGGCAACCTTTTGCCCGATTAGACATCTCCTGACGAAAGTCACATTTGCCTACAATATTTCTTCAAGAAAGATCTAATCTGGCAAATTTTGCCGGGATAGACATGTGCCAACGAACTTTCATTTGAATGTATTTTTTTTAAAAAAAAAATTTATTATAAACTTAGTATGTTTAGGTTAATTAATTTTTTAAGTACTTTCTTGAAGCACCGTGTTCATTGATGTTGTTGGTGTCAATTAGATGCCTTAATGATTTTCAATTTTCATAATTTTTTGCGAGGATGATCTCTGAACGAAGATATGAAAAATAAATGATTTGGATTGTTGAAAAAAATTTCGTAGGGTCTTTTTATGGATTTAAATTCAAGGAAAAACGAGTAAAAACCCAAAAGATCCAATTAACCTTGGTATGTATACGGATGTGTTTTAATGTTATTTACAAGAGATCCCATTATTTTCTTCTATGAAATAATATAAACTTTGCAAGTTCATGTAAATGATGTATGCACACCAACCTATTCTTCCGATTTCAGCTTTTGGAGTTTCGGTTGCTTAATCTCTGTTTTCTTCATTTCTGCATCAGCATTCTTCCTTTGCTCATAATCATTTTTCAGATTCTTAACTTCTTCACTGAATTTTCTGAGCAGATTGAGCTCTTTGATATAATAGTGTAGTCTATCTATGATCAGTACAAGGAATAAAGAAAACCCTGCGTCGTGATTGAAAAAGAAAAAGCTCATAAAGTATAAGATTCTTATAGCTCTCAAAACCAGTAAGCTTACAACCTACCCTGTCAAGGTTAACTCAAATATATAGTTCATTTTTTCTTTCAATAAACTTTGCAGAAAAGGCTAAATTATGAATGTAGTTACCTATAAGAGATGCTTCTAAGAGTCGATGTGCCATTAAAACCTCATCAGTTGGATTGACAAAGCCTGCCTCTGTTAAACGTCTCTGAACACTGAACACACCATATAGGGTAGAGCTAAAGAAGACGAGGACAGTTCCTCCCACGCTCTTCGCCACCAATGGCCCCCTTCCTTGCTTCGATCGATCTAACCCTACGATCACCAACGTCCTTAGAGGGGTTCTGAACAGAAGACTCAGAATCAATGCCATTTCGGCCAACACAAGTGCAAACAAAATTTGAATCATTGTTTCAAGCTGGCAAGAAAGGTTTTTTTTTATTTATTTTTTTTCAATGATATTATCGAAATGACTTGAGCGATGTGTTGAAAATGTAAACCAATGGTTCAATTTTGTAGTTTTTTTTCTTCTAAGATTTTATGGTTCAAAGGCTTGCTTGCTTATTATTCTAGACTTATTGTTTAACCAAAGAATCATACTTTCCATGACCTGGTGATGCAGGGATGGAATAGCTTCACCATGCCCCTTAGGCACCTTGTTGGTTAGGAAATGTGTTTTTTTTCTTCTCTTTTCATATTATTTTTACCTTTTTATTTTGGAGTTCCATTTGGGGTGTTATGCTAATTTCTCCTTTTTCTAGCACACAATTCTATTTCTAATCAGTAATTGTAGGGTGCGGATTTGCTGTCCCCATTTTGTGTGTCTCTTTGTGTCCCTTCTCTTTCGTATTGACAGCTGTCCTATGATTTAACACATCATTTATTCACATTTTATCATCTCGATTTTACCCTTCTCATCTTAAAACAATTATTACAAAAATAATTAAAGAAAAGGGCCCATCCCCGATTCTGCCGTTTTGATCCTCACCCATGGCAGATCCGCCATGTCTCTACGCTCTCCCTTTTCTTCACATGTGTTTCATCTTGGACCAGAGTTGCTAAGGTTGTGTGCCCTAACGATAATTGTGAGTTCCTTTCATGCTACCACTTCGACATATACTTCTACAGCAAATGCGGGTTGATATCAGAGTCGGCTCATGACATGTGCGAGCTGTGCGACCGCACAGGGCCCTCAAAATTTAGGAGCCTCCAAATGTTTTTAAAAGCCCAACATTATATTATATTTGTGGGTATGTGTAGTTTTTTTGTATGTAAACGAAAATTGAATGGATGTGAGTATGTGAAAATAGACGAATGATGATCTTGATTCTATTTGTGGGTTCTAATGTAATTGATATCACATACTTTGGTTTAATTTATGATTTATGAATTTGAAAATTTGAAAAATTGTTAATTTACTTATACATATAGGGCCTCATCAGCTTTCTTTGCACATGGCCTCCATATCTAATGGACCGGCTCTGGTTGATATGGTTTATCAGAAGGATGCTACTTTGAATGGTCAAATTAGGCTTCTTTGATTTTTTTTTAAAGTTTATTTTAGAGTTTTTCTATTTAAATTCCACACTTTTCTTTATTCACTCAAATACTTAAATTATTATGCTCTTAAGTTTTTATTATTGTGTAAAAAAACAAATTTAAAAAAGGTCATCCAACTTAATATTTAATGTTGAAAAGTAATATATACTTGTAACTTGAATAATATAGAAAAGTCTATAATATTGATGAATGTGCAAACCGACTTAGCAAAGTCGGTGAATACAAAAAAATCTGAGATCAAGGTGTGCTTTAATATAAAATATTCAAAGTACTACACTCACCGACTAAGCTTATGTCAGTTAGTTCTCCTATATATAGGCTTGTTTCCTTGACAAAAATGTAAGCTAAAAGCTGAAAATTACGGCTGTCTAACTCAAGTAATCAGCCAACTCAGGTATCCAAAGCCTTGTACCTTCCTACTTCAATCAATAAATAAAACTACTTTGTTACTCTTTCAAAAGTTTTTCATTCCAAGTTAAGCTATTGTCTTAAACACTAAACCAATCATTTCCTGAACCTTTTCTCCCTTAAACTAACATTTAACCTGTACATCTATACACACATATCCTACCACTTCGTCCAAAAAAGAAAAGTATACACACCTTACCACTCTTCATATAGAAAAACACAAACTCCTACACCCTATTGCCAGATTACTATTATCTTTCAATCCAAGAAACTTACTACACTATCATCTTCTTTTCACAAACCCTAAATAATAATAATAATAATAATAATAATAATAATAATAATAATACAATAATGTTACTACACATTTGACAACATTGTTTTTATCTCTTTAAGTAATGTGAGGTTGAGGTGAACTTAGAGTGGTGAGGGACAAGGTGTGGGTTGTGAGGTTGATGAGTTTAATTTTTATTTATTTTTTCTGTTGGGTAATAGGCATGGCAGCCACTTGTAGGTGAGGTGAGGGGTAAATGAGAGATTTGAGATCTTTCATGGTGTAAAATGAGTTGGAAACACGACAAATGTATTTGGAGATGGTAGACCAGTAATTGTTTTACTTATTCAATTTTTGTTATTATAAAAAATAAAGCCAACGAGAAGGGTAAAATCGGAATGATGAAATCTGAATAAATAATGTATTAAATCAAAAGACATGTGTCAACAATACAGAGAAGGGAAATTGAGGGACACACAAAATAGGGACAACAAATCCACTTCGAGTGAGAATAGAAAATTAGCACGAGATAATTGATATCAATGACATTGGTGCTACAATTACCGAAGCGAATCTCAAATACCCACCATTTAAATTTGAAAAAACACAATCCTATTTTTTCACCCACCATTATTCCTAAAATACCCAATTTAGAGAAAACAAAAACCCAAATGAATTCTGCCCCATAACTTCTTAAAGTGTGCCCCTGCATAATCTTTAGAATCCTTATGTTTCTCTCCATTGATACCACCCATAACACAACCATGATCATGTAGCCCCACATAACTTTTGGCCTTTTTACCCGTCCATAACAATTCATGCGTTTGGCTAAAAAGAGAAAAGTAGTCCCTTGGAATTACCTAGCTAATGCCCACCTCCCTGCACAAATTCAACTATAGACCCAAGGTCACCGGGTAATGAACTTAGGCCATCTCCAGCCATGGGCTATATCCCAAATATAGCCCTAAAATAATGCAAAATTCATCTCCAGTCACGAGCTAAACAAAATTCTCCAACCGGGCCACATGTAGCCCAACTTTGGCCTAGACCAAATTTTTTGTGAGCCCCATGCACATGCTTTTGAAGAAGATAAATTATTAAGTGTGGGCAAGAGCACGAATTATCTCGTGCAAATGCATATCCAATAGCCAACATTAAAAATGCTGACGTCATCGATGATGTCAGCTGGATATATATATATATATATATATATAAGCCTTTTTAAATGTTTTCCATTCATGTTGTTTAACAAAAATTTATATAAATAATAATAAATAAAAAAGATTAATGGTCATGACCGTTGGAGGTCAGACCATTGAAACCCATCCTTTATATATACTAGCCCCTTGGCACATGCTTACGCATGTGCCAATTGGTTTTCTTTTTTATTTTTTATTTTATTTTTGGTATTAAGAAAAGATAACATGAGTAATTATGTTCCATAAAAGTAGGACTTATTATTTGATTTTATTTTTATTTTTAATTTTTTTAATATGAGAAAATGTGAATTTACCATATTATCCTCATTTAATTAATAATTCCAATTCTTAATTTTTGAATTAACCAAGGGAATTTTTTGGTATTTTGAATATTTCACCATTATCTGCCTTTTGCTTTATATATATAGATGTGTTTGTATATATATTTATATTTTAAATTTATTTATTTATAAAAGTGTGGTCACTTTTTTAAATGTTTTCAATTCGTGTTATTTAAGAAAAAAATTTATAAAAAATTACTGGTCATGACTGTTGGAGCCCAAAAAATTATGTTTTCAATTTTTAAATGTTTTAAATGTTTTAAAATGTTTTCAATGTTTTCAATTCATGTTTTCACACATACTTTTTAAATGTTTTAAATGTTTCAATTTGTGTTATTTAAGAAAAATTATAAAAAGATTCAACACGTGTCACTCAAAAATCATAGCCCGAAAAATTATTAAGATTCCTTTAGGATAAGACGTGCCACGTGGACACAAAATCTTATTAGAAATCTTGTGATATATGGAATATTGTCTCTAAATAGTAGTTTAATTAAATTAAACAATACATAGTTGTGGAATGTATGAGTGTTGTACCATAGTTTTTCTCAAAATAATAAAATAAGAAGGACCCTAAAATATAACTCTGCATGGCTGGAGATGGAAAAATTTAGCCCTGCACTATTCTTTAAAAAATTAATATTTTGGAGGGCTAAATTTTTAGCTATGGACTACATTTAGCCTTATAACTGGAGATGGCCTTATGATCAACTGTTTCCAAATTCTTCTTTAATAGGATACACCATTGAGGATACAAGCAGGAATATGGAACCCTTCTTTGAACTGTGTCTTCACCTCTTTTAATATTAATTTTACTATAAAAATCGTTAATAATGAAAGTTATTGTGATTTCATGGTCATGTGTGAAGGAAGGGTGACTGGGAATGATTATTCTTAAATGCATTTGGTGTGAACCAAAGTCAGATCCGCTTGAACTTTTCAAATTTCTATTGGAGTGATTCCAATATACCTTTGGTGTCAGACGCTAAAGATGGATCTCTCTTTTCTCTCTGTATAAGCTTTTGCTTGAATGTATTGAGCAAGAGTGACACAGATGTAGGTCAGGGAAGGGCATATATGTGGGGAAATATGACAAGAAGGTAGAAATAGCAGCACTCAATTTAAAACTATTAAGAACGTCTCCAAGAAGGGAGATGGGGAAACGTTAAATCCAACGTGAAAGCATGTAGAAAAAAATAATTGAGACTTACTCAAATCGAAATGTTAAATCCTATGTGGAATAATTCTCTCGTGTTATTTTTGGCTGTTTAACTTTGTGATGTTATTTCATTATTTATTTTCAATTAATGTGCCTAGAAAGTAATAAACCAATAAACACTATGTAATAAAATAAACTTTAATTTGATATGTTGGGTGGAATTCAAAACTCTATTTTATGTCAAATTGCCACATAAGCCATCAAATTCAAATTTTTTTGTTGAGAAAAAATGGTATTTCATTAAACCGAAAGGAACATTACATGGTAAGAACTAGCATATTAACGGCGACCTCGTTAAAACTTTCCCAAAGAAACAAAATCTCAGGGTAGGAAAGAGTACCACCCATAATATTGACTATACAAAAGAGTCAAACAACTTATATGAAACAAACCAACCTAAACCCCAACCACAAAACCCTTAAAACAACATCCCATCACTACATAGGTACTGTCAAAGAAGTCCTCCTATGATCTAGAAAAAGTATCGTAGTTCTTCGTACATAGTCAAAAACGTACTATGGGTATCAAAATATATCCAGCCAATCACTTAACTGCAAAACCATTGAAACACATCTCATCACTAGGCAGATACTGTCAAAGAAAGCCTCCTATGATCTGAAGAAAGCATCATAATTCTTCGTACATAGGCAAAAATGTATTGTGAGCATTATAATAGATCCAACCAAACACCAACTGCCACCTCCAATTTTCTTGATCAAGAACCCCAGCTGACAAGCAAGTGAGACCAAGATTGGCCTCTTAGCTAGAAGAAAATTCCGAAGAAAGATCTTCATAGTAGTAACGTTCATCAATTGCCAAGCCCATAGACGCTCTATAGGAGAATTATTAGGGAGATCTTGGAGACCCCTCGAGGCTGGTCTCCTCCGCCTTGTCAACAAAATCCTTGATACAAAAACTTCTTACCAGAAAAATCCATGGCACTAACAATCAGATGCCCAACACTAGTTTTCGCAGGCAGCTGATTCCCAGTTGGTGCCGCATACTCGTCATCCTCTTAAGCAAAAGAGGTGGTGGCCATCTCCATACGTTAAGATGGAGACCCATCACCAACCACTGGCTCCTTGGGAACCCAGAAAGGAAGCCAATGCAGCCACCCTACGAAGAACAAAAGAGCAAAAAAAACGTCATACCCAATTCACCAAGAAGAACCCAAATAGACAATCAGAGAAGATTGAGAGAGACGGCGCAGAGAATGAGTAAAGAAAATTGGAGAAACCCTAACCCTAGCTGTCAAGGCTCTCCTCGCATGAACAAGAGAGCGACCCAAAAATTTTGGCAATTCCATCAAATTCAAATTTAATGTGTGATATTTGACATCTCCCTTGGAGATGCTCTAAGGAATTCATAAACGATGGAATTTAAAATGATGACAATTAATGTTCTAGAATGTTTAAAGTTTATTGTTTGGCTAATGGATTTAAACATGAAATTTAACATTTTAAAACTTCCACACTCTTGGAATTTTAGAAATGACCTCCAAATTCCATGTGTTTTTCCACGTGGAATTTCTAAATTTCTATGTTTTTTTAAATCCAATCACGGGAATTGCTATATGTCAATTTTGAAATCCTAACTTTTATCCAAATCCTAAGTTTATTTCCCCCATCCAAAAGCATTGTACTAAATTTATTCTCCATTTTTTAAATATTGTTTTTAATCAAATTTGGTACTTCCTCCAACTTAGGAAGAACCATATCTATACTCGACATATAAAACAGAGATCTCAAATGGTGAAACATTGAAAACCCTAAAATTATTCTTTAATTAATTACAATGTTAATTCTTGACCAAAAAAAAATATATACAATGTTAATTAATATCATGATGATAAAATGGTAAGAAATAACTGAAATGTATGTACCATATTTTCCAGTGAGTATATTTGTCAATATTATTGTTGCTAACAAAACGTACTGATATGTTATCAATATATTTTCATCAACATCGATAAACAATCCAATCTTTAATAAGACTAGACATCATGCACAAAGAATTTCTGACCCAACTAAAATGTTTACTTATTAAGAATAGGTGAAGCCATAAATCGAGGAACTTAGATAGGGAAATTAAGGAATTGTAATTGGATCAACTACCCCCCTAGTTGATTCCATTCCTAATTTTGAGGTATTTGATTACAAATTTTAACATGTAATCCACATAAGTAATTAGGCCATCTCTAAGGGAGAGGGCCAAATGTTAAAATTTGGCAATATAACCTCGATAGAGCACCCATCACATGTATAGGGCCAGGAAAAATATCAATCTAGAAAATATTTTAAGTGGAATAGCAGTCCAGGTTTTGCATGGACTGAAATTTGGTGGAGCCCACTCACACATCCACTGCTCCCATGTGCAAAGTCAGTTTTGTGGACCCATTAGAGTTAAACTATTTTTAAACAATTGAATAAGGGTACGGACTCAAAATTTGAGTCTAGAGGGTTAGGGCCAAAAACTAATTGAGTCCAGTCCAGCCAATATATAAATGGTTGTATTTTGAATGGTGAAATTTTGGTTAGCCCCCTTAGGCCATCTCCAACCCATGAGGCCAAACCCAAAAAAATCTCAAATTATTGCCCAAAGCCTCTCCTAACCCAAAAAATGAAGGGGCCAAAATTTGGGAAAACCCAAATTTGGATCCAAATAGCAGTCCAAGTATTGCCTGGACCTAAAATACAATTAGTGGAGCCCACCTGCTGCGTCAGCAGCCCATGTGCAAGCTTTCCTTCGCTGGGGCCCGCCAACAACCCATGTGGAAGATGCTGCCTTCGGCTTGTAGTGATGTTATTTGTTTATTTTTTTATACTCTAATATTAACTTAAATCAATGATATATATTAAATCTAAGCTATTTTAACGGTAAAAAAAATAAAATCCAACGGTTGAAATTTAAATCCAAAGATCAAAATAATATTTTAACTTAATCTAAATCCGATCCAACATCAAAACTCACGCCAAACTCTATAAATACCCACTCATTTCTCAAATAATCTACCAAAAAAATTATACTTGTAGAATTTCAATTTTTCAAAAAATTAAATTATGAAGTTATTTAAAAAGATTAAATGAAGAAAAGTTATCCATAAAAAAAATAAAAAAAATAAAAATTAGACTTAAACAATTTAATGAAGTTGCGAACTTAAAATTTGAGTCCGAAGGTTTGGGAGAAAAAACAATTTGAGTCCGGGCAAAACTCAAATAATTACTTTCTAGAGAGGGAAAGTTTGGGTTTAGCTCCTCATGAGTTGGAGAAAGCTTTAGCATTGGAGGATGGCCTTAGGCCATCTCCAACCCTTGGACTCAAACCTAAAATATCCCCCCAAACCTCTCTCAACCCAAGAAAAGGAAGGACTCAAAATTTGGGAAAACCCAAATTTGGACCAAAATATGGATCCAAGAATTGCCTGGACCCAATACTATTCATTGGACCCCACGCTGAGGTGGCAAAACCCATGTGCTTCTGAAAATTGGTGGGACTCGTGCTGGTGACATTTTCTGATGGGTTGGAGCTGTGGCTAAAGCCACGTGTCAGCACTACATCAATGAGTCATTGGGCTTGGGTTATTTACTTTATTTATTTATTTATAAATCAAATAGTATTGCTGGGGCCCACACACACTGTGTTTCCAGTTCAAAGAGCTGTTGGGCTTCAAAGAATCTATTTTTAGAAAAAATAAAATAAAAAAAATCTAATAGTAACTTTAAATTAACAATCTAGATTAAATCTAAGCTATTTTAACGGTAAAATTAAAATAGGTCAATTTTTTTTTTTTATGTTATGTGTTTTTTTTTTATGTAGTGTGTTTACTTTTGAAATAAAATTAAATTTATAGAATTTCAATTATTTTTAGGTCAAATTGTTCAAAAAATTAAATTATGATGTTATTTAAAAAGATTAAATGAAGAAAAGTTATCCATAAAAAAAAATTATACTTAAACCGTTCTTAAACAATTTAATAAAGTTGTGGACCTAAAATTTGAGTCCGTATGGTTGGGAAAAAAAACAATTTGAATTCCGACAAAACCCAAATAGTCACTTTTTGGAAGGAAATTTGGGTTTAGCCCCTTATAGGTTAAAGAAGGTCTTGGAATCGTTTCAATACCAATTTCTGATAAGTAATAAAATAAAATAAATAATGAATTCTCCAAAGCGGTGCGTTTTGTCTCTTTTAAGACACTCGGCACAAACCACGAGCAAGACTGTAAATTCAGCATCTAGGTAAAGTATATACACTGAAAAGACTCTCTCTCTCTCTCTCTCTCAGCTGCAGTTTGGACTTTGGAGTCACTGAGGCTGAGGCGGGGAAAGCTATTTTTCTCACTTCCCAGAGCCTGCAATGGAGGCGCCGCCATTTGCTTCTTCTACCAAAACGCTGTCGTTTCGATCATCGTCCCCCACGTCTCTTCTTTTTCTTCGCAAAAATCGCCTCAGTTTCAGACCTTCCAGAAACTTCTGCGTCCGTGCCTCCTCTGCCGGTGACTCCGGTATCTCTCTCTCTCTCTCTCTCTCTCTCTCTCTCTCTCTCTCTCTCTATTTTCCTGTTAAATTTATTTTTTTAATGATAAATTTCAAATGATTTTGTTTTTGATATTCAATCAGTGGTGACTCTGCTTGACTACGGTGCCGGCAATGTTCGTAGTGTGAGGAATGCCATTCGCCACCTCGGCTTCGACGTTAAAGATGTAATTCTTTTTCTTTTCTTTTCTTTTCTCAATATCTATCTATCTTTGCTTTGCTTTGCTTTCTTTTTATTTGAATTCATTCTCATAATTCCTTACATTGAGCTTCTATTCCTTCACGAACAATTCCAAATATATTTTGAATTGTTTCCATTCTGCTATGCCTCATTTGTGCTTTGTTCCAAAGTTTCATACTTCTAAGTGGTTTCTTTGTAATGATGGGTAAATTTTGTTTTTTGTTTTTATTTTTATTTTTAATTTTTAATTTTTAATGTTAATTTTTATATGTTACAGATTTTATGAAAAAAGAAAAGAAAGATGTAGAAAATCGATTCATATAAAATTTGGTAAGTCAATGAATAAAGTTTTAACAAAAATTCAAAATGTAGGTTCAAACTCCAGAAGACATTCTCAACGCCAACCGCCTAGTTTTTCCTGGAGTGGGGGCTTTTGCTGCGGCCATGGATGTGCTGAATAAGAATGGGTATGTGTCTCTTTTCTTTTATATCAGATTCTATAAGGATCAATTGCTTGTTTGTTCCATTAAAATGGATTAGTGACAAAGAAGGGATATTGGTGATAAGGAGTGCCTATTCAGAGAATGCTGAAATGTGGTTAAGTAAAGTTAATCGCAACAATGATTGGTAGCAGGCTTGAATATCAAATTCGAATATAAGATGGCTTTGAATATTTCTCTTTTGTTAACTAATCTTATAATATTACCAATGTAATTCCAATTATTTATTTTTTTATATTGTGGAGAATTTTCAGCCCTTTAATGTTTTTCAGGATGGCTGAAGCACTCTGTTCATATATTGAGAAGGACCGACCATTTCTAGGCATTTGTCTGGGTCTTCAGCTCCTTTTTGAATCCAGTGAAGAGAAAGGACCAGGTCAGTGCTTGATGCCTCATTTTGTCATTAGTTATTTTTTTCTCAGATTTGGTAACTCATCGTAAACTGCATGGATCTCAGTCATGGAGTATTCACCTGTAACAATTTGGATTGAATGATTGAAAAGAAAGGAATTGGATTTGACAGTAAGGCTAGATTAGCATAAAATTACTAAATATCACGTTTTGAAAAGGATTTGAAATAACTTATACAATATATTTGAGATGGATTTGCAATGACTATATACAATGATTCATTTGACATCCATTTGTTTATTCTTTCTTCCCATGCAAATATAAGTATTATGTATTGTAATAGTACGTTTAAGAAATTTAATTATATAATAGTAACTAAAATACCTAGAATAGAAATCACTCTTCCCATATGATAGTATTTCTTTTAGCAACTACTGAGGATGCAGCAATCCATTTGTGAAGTTGTTGTTATTATAATTATTATGAGAGAGAGAGAGAGAGAGAGAGGAGAGAGAGAGAGCTGGTTCAAGGAGATAGTATCGGTGTGCTTAAACAAATTTATGTTATTTCTGACGTTATATATGTCTCAGTGAAAGGTCTTGGCTTGATACCGGGAGTGGTTGGGCGTTTTGATTCATCAAATGGTTTCAGAGTTCCACACATTGGATGGAATGCTTTGCAGATTAGAAAGGACTCATTAATTTTGGATGATGTTGGAAGCAATCATGTCTATTTTGTTCA